TCTGGAATCAGGGTTTTGAAACCAGTTTTCAGTACCCAGTCCTAATGCTGTCCCGTCCTTTCTGCAGTTCTTCTTCAACAGTGACAGCACAGAGCTGGTTCTGTCTGGAGCTGGGGCTCTGGTCTTCTGCGGCTTCATTATCTACGATACCAGCCTGCTGATGAAGCAGCTCTCACCTGAGGAGCACATCTTGGCCTCTATCAACCTCTACCTTGACATTGTCAACCTCTTCCTGCACATCCTGCGTGTCCTCGACTCTCTGAAGAAGCACTAACAGCTTCAGTATCACTGAACTCTTTTCCTCAGCTCTAACACACTGTTGTGTATTCTATAAGCTTCACTGGAAATCCTTGATATACCTGTGCTGTGATTATGGTCTGTTAATGTGAGTGTTATTGTCCTGAAGTCAACCAGAAGTTTTATTTTAGAAGGGAATCTTTGTAACTTAAAGAGCTGTATGTACTTGCTGTATTTTCTGCTTCTGCCACAACATTGAACCGACCAACAGGAGACGTGTATAAACTTGATATTCTTGTTAAAATGTAATGTTCTGCTGGGAAGCCTTGGCTCCTGGCCTTCATATGGACGTTATAATGGCATGTACCATCCACCTAAACATTTTTTTAGACCAAACCTTTTTAGTCTGACCAAGCATTTTTTTTTCTCGGGCAATGGCACCCAACAAAGATTAACTGATCCGGCCTCCAAACTCCAATCTCTGGTCTGATCATCCACAGGATGCACTGCAGCCCAGCTGATCGACTGAAGCCCCACCCTGCAACCCACGGGAGCCAGTAGATCCACTGGCAACATCTCTGTGCCAGACACCACATGAAAGCCCCAGAGGTCCTTTGTCAGTGTAGGAATGGATCAAACCTGTTATGGTGGCAAGTGTGGGACTTACACAAGAACATATAGACGTAATTTGAATGTTGTGGTGTCCACTGCAGAGGCAGCTAGCGCCTCCAACTGGCCTAACTGCTGCTCAGTGTTCTGTTAGGGCCAAATCATGCTTTCTGTATTCATGTTTCCTGAACACAGACAGAATTCCTCAGCGTTCTACATGACATGTGTTTCTACCTAACGCCAACGTCTCTGCCCCAGACACCACATGAAAGCCCCAGAGGTCCAGAGTGAATGGCCCCCCATGTGCAGCGCGCAGACTGCAGATGTGCCAAGAAAACGAGATGGATGCTTGTTTTTAAGAGAGCCTTTGCAGTTATCCAAGCCTTTTATATGTAATCATGGGAGTTGTAATCAGAAAAAGTTCCTGCCAGATTTTGGTGCTTTAATTTATTTCCACCGATGACATCTAAACTCAGTGGGATGTTCGAAGTTCTTTTTAGAAATCTTTTGTTGTGTCTGTCTATTGTGCTTTGTACAGAAAAGTATTAAAAGGCTCATCTCATTTAATAAACGTTAGCCTCCTCGTCTCCTTTGTCCTCCGTCCTCCTGCTCATGACGCAGAAAGTAATCTTAGCGTGCCATCAAAAGTCCTACAAGACAGCAGAAGGACAGAGGATGGAGCATAAAGGAGGCTAGTTGGTGGAGCCAAGGTGTGTCTTTGAGAAGTCTGTTCTGCACTTGTGGCGTTGTCACAACGAGGCGTGACGCACAGCTGGAATGTCCAGACCATGTCAGGAGCACGACAGACAAACAGGCATCCATACATTCTCATTACATCACATTGTTAAAATATAAGGAAAAATAAATTGTGAGATATTGTGTAAGTTATTACATACTAGTTGTAACGAACACTGCTGCTCATCTGGCAGAGATCCTAAAATACAGAAGTAGGTTATGACAACACATGGCCACGTGATACATCTGTGATCTGATTTAATGAACGTTGCTTTAAACTGACACGTCTGAGGTGAGGATTTCTCGTTTTGGTCTAAACCTATTGGCTCGACTCGTCTCTACTGATATCTCTTCCTCCTCCTCCTTCTCTTGCGTCTTTGGTGTGGTGTGAGGAGAGTAGTCAAGGTGAGGTATCGAGGATGTACGGTCAGTGAAATGCGATGAGGCTGGAGTCCAGCTGCTTGGTGTATGAATAACGACTGGTCCTGTTCACAACTATTAACATGCATCACGGATGATTAGATGACAAGCAAACATCTGTTTCCTGAGCCACAGTGAATGACCACCTCTCACCCAACCAATCAAGGAAGATGGCTGTCTTCCCTGAGCCTGGTTCTGTCAGAGGTTTTTCCCCCTCTCTTTTTTGGGGGGTGGGGTTTGGTTCCTTCCCACTGTTGCCAACCTCTTGCTCAGAGGGAGTCCAAAGGCTACTTTGGATTGTTGGGTTCTCTGTTTAACTTTGTAAGGTCTATACGTTACTATGTTAAGCGCTGCGAGATGACGTATGTTGTAAATTCCCTCCATCCATTATCTATACACCGCTTAGTCCTCATTAGGGTCATGGGGGGCTGGAGTCTATCCCAGCTGACTCAGGGTGAAGGCAGGTTCACCTGGACAGGTCACCAGTCTATCACAGGGCTACACTTAGCTACACACCTGGCAAACTAATCATCACAGGTGTCTGAGACTGATGTCAGAGATCCAAAGAGCCCTGAGACTCAATGCTGTCCATGGGTTTAATTGAAAAACAGAAAATGTAATCTTTTTGGCACAATTTGCATAATAATTTGGAATGCGGTGTAGTTATTATCCTTGGCAGCTATTTGGAAGCCTGTGACACAAAAACTATAAAATAACTTTCATTTCAAAGACAGCCCCTTGACTTTGATGAATGACGGCTAAAGAAGAAACCTCAAAGCTGTTTCCACCTCATGCGTGCAAATGAAAGCACAAAAACACAATGTAAAAACTCCTGATAAACTTTTAATTTGAGCTATTTGTACACCTGGCAAATTACATTAAAACTTCTGTATCCCTACCCGGCCCCACTACCCCCCCTCCCCCTCCCCCTCCCCCATACAACATCAGGGAAATAAAGCATATAATGGAAGATATTACAGTTATATCAATGTACAGTGTTTACATAAAAAAAAAAAAAATACATCAAGGTAAAATGAATTAACGAGGATGCACTTAAATGTGAAGCACAAGCTTGGAGAAGTGCCGTTATGTCAATCATTTACCTTCAGCCCCGTTAGTCAGTGAGAGCTGAGACGCTGCAGGTGCACCATTCTGCTAGACATACAAAAATAGATTACAGTGATGCGCCAACCACTAGATTATTCACTTTATTTTGTTGTTTTACACATCCTGACAATTGTTTCAAAGTGGATTTAAGGTAGATCCCTGATGGAAAAAAACAAAAAAAACAAAAAACAAAAGTTGACACATATATAGCAGGTCTCATAACACTGAAATAGTACATGCCTTGGTGGTTTAACAAAAATAATAAATAGAAGCTTTTGGTTTAATATCAAAGGAAACTGCTACAAAATATCAAATCTGCAGAAACTGACAGAACTACAGCTAGGCCTTAATCACCCTTTAAAACGTCTCAACATTTCTTAAATCCAGTACATTCTCCAATAATGCAGTGCCAGTAAAAAAAGCACAAATTTAAGGCACAGTAGGGGTCATCAGCTGCAGGTTGCTGCAGCAGGCTTTTAGCATTTGGAATGTGCACCATTTGTACAATTTCACACTGCAAAAACTAAATTCAAATTTCAGTTCACTGCATTAAAATAAAATGTGTAGCAACTCCTTGTTGTTGTTTTTGTCTTTTATGAATATACAGGTGTTGTAAAAACACACTCACTCAACCAGGACTCCTAAAGCTCAGCGCGGCCTCTCTACAGTGCCTGGAATATCTGGAATTTAGAATTCTCAACACATCTTCGTCGTCCTAGTTATAAGAAATGAGTGTTAGCATCGTAACATGAGGCTGATAAGATCAAAGACCAGCAGTGACAGCATCAGGTTCCATAATGACGAGAAACATCTGTCTCACCGAGGACAGATGAGCACAGACTGTAAACTGGACACGACACATCCTGAAGTCTGTGTGCTCCTCTGGTCTGTAGGTCACGTTTGCAGAGTGATAAAACATGACACTGGTTTGCAACAGTTCTGGAAATCAATGAGTAACAACCCGACAGTTAAAACAACCCAACTTGAAAGAGGTAAATAATAAATAGAAGTAATAATAACTTGGACTAGATCTGAAGGAGAAATCTTCTGTCAAACATACTTTTGGGAGCACTGCAGAAAAAAAAAAGGGGGGGTCATACATGGAGCAAACAAAGACATTGACTGAATCGTCATCCTCACTAACGCTGGGTTCCTCCAGCTAAATTGTTGAGGCCCCTCTGCAAGTGTTTGCCTGTGGATACAGGTGTACTTTTCTGTGGTAAGTGAGCTGCAAGAAAAATGTGCACTTAAGGTTTACGTTCAGTACAGAAAAGGTAATACAGCTTGTGCTTTAGTTCATATGTATTTACAGCACAAACTCCACACGTCTGTTCCTGTCATCCTCCCTTTACTAAAAAAAAAATGGTACTAATCAGAATAATTCTAGCAATAGGTCGAACACCTTTAGGGATTCAACACCAAAACTGTTGTACTGAAAGCTTACATAGAGACGTACTCTGACACATGCAGCCATTTCCATACACTGCCTAAATGAACTTCGTCATGGCATCAGATATACAGTGGAAGAGGAGGGAAAATTGGAGTCTCTGCACACATCTTAAATAGTCTAGAAGAACTCTGCTTCTTTCTTAAATCTATGACAATTCTAATACAAAGATTATATAAAACAAACACTGCACTGCTAAACAGCTTCTTTTGCAAATATCCTGTGGTGAAAAAGAAACAAATGAAAAAAAGCTTCCCTGTGACACAAACGGAAGTCTTCCTGCTACAGAGCAGTGAAGAAGCAACAGCAGACTGCTGCTGTAATGCTGGGAGGGCACGGCGGAGAATGTTAATTCTAAATCCAATGGTCATCTCACGAGAAGCCTGAAGAGTTGGCTGAGCCGTAGTACTGCAGACGAGCCGTGTTCATGGGGCTTGACATGTGGAGGCTGGAGGCCTTCAGGGGCGTGCTGCAGCCTTGGGCTTGTGGGAAGCGTTGGTGGTATCGGTCCAAACGCAGATATTTCACCGTCACCAGCTTACCTGTTAACAAAAGTAAGACGTGTCAAAGATCAATCACTACAAGGAGCTACCCATTCCAGTCGTAGTGTCCCTGAGAAGATGTCATACATATTTGGTTCAGTGAAGGAAACAGTGTTGTTAGCTTGTTTTGTTTTTTTAAATTTAAATGAAGTTTGCTGTACTTGCTTCAAGGCATGGAAATTTAGCTCCAAAGCCATATCATCAACGGTTGTTATGTGAAGATGGACCATGGACACAGGCTTAGCAAGAAAACCACCTTCAATACATTTTTTGAATCTTGCAAAGAGATCCCAATGCCCCAGTCCCTCACAATCTAATGATTCTCATAATGTATTTTAAGTACAATCCATCCATCATCTACACATCACTTAATCCTCACTAGGGTCATGGGGGGGGCTGGAGTCTATCCCAGCTGACTCAGAGTGAAGGCAGGTTCACCTGGACAGGTAACCAGTCTATCACAGGGCTACACTTAGAGACAGACAACCAAGCACACTCACATTCACACCTACGGACAATTTACAATCACCAATTAACCTCAACATGTTTCTGGACTGTGGGAGGAAGCCGGAGAACCCAGGAGAACATGGAGACTCCACGCAGAAAGATCCTGGTGTCCTCACCAGGACGTGAACCTGCGACCTTCTAGCTGCGAGGCAACAGTGCTAACCACTGAGCCACCTTGCAGCCCTATTTCAAGGACGATGCAGGTCAGAATTCAGGCAAAGTAGTTGCATAAACTGCTGCTCAGTTTCTTGTGAGGATGATTTATTCAAATGGGACTTTCTAGCTTGTATTCTGTCGTCTCACATGTAGTAACACAGCCCTTTGTTTCTGCCTTTGGTTACTGCTGATGTGCTCTAAATGTATGCTGTGTGTAAATTACCATCAAACCAGGAGCCATGGAGTGCCTTGAAGGCTTTCCCGGAGTGTTCTGCAGAGAGACACTTCACGTAGACACAGCCCTGTGGAGACAACAGATATCAGTGTTACGCTGCTGCAGCCGACAGCTTGGACGACAAACTGTGGTCCTCGCTCACAGAGCTGATCGTACCTCTCGTGAGTTCTTGTCAACAGCGATATGGACGATGCCGTCGTTGTCGCTGCACTTCTCCAGGATGGCCTCGTGGATGGCAAGATCCCAGTTCTCTCCAACCTCCCTGAAAATACAAATACAACTCCAGTGAATGGGAAAATACGACGTCTGGTAGCCTTTAGCAGCTCATAAAACACACAGGAAAGACTCACATGACTGGGTCGAACATGTTTCTGATCTTAAGACATGGCGTGAGGCTGTTGGGAGGTGAATTCCTCCGGTCCAGAGGGAAAGCTGAAAAGGACAAAGCGATCATGTTAGAACACACTTAACATGCAGGCAATCACAGTGACAGTATATGTGCAAATCCACTACAGAACAAATCGCCTAATTTGGGACATATATTATTTCGGTGGCCAGCGCTTTAAACACATTTATTAGCGGAGAGCAGAGGACATACTGCAGTAGAGAGAAGGAGCCAGATTGGGGATGGAGCGAGTTAACCATGAGTGCAATACAATCTACAACCTCTACAAACTATTGAGGGACTGTTTTAGGTCAGCATGCTGAGCTTAACATTAAGCAAGTCTTTTGGACAATCCTCTCTTATCTCCCAAAATTAGTGACAAAATTAGGAACGTTCTGTTTCAGAGTGATGCTGAAAAACAAGCGCAGGCATTTGGGACATCTGTAATTCCTTATTATCATGATGTCCCAATAACTTTCTGAAAAATCTGACAGGAATCATAACATTATATTACATTAGCTTGTCTTCACTGGCTCGCTGTAAAATCCAGAATCGAATTTAAAGTCTGTCTCCTCACAGACTGCTACAGTCTATTGTTCTCTCTCTTTTTTTTTTTTAAATATATTTTTTTGGGCTTTTGCCTTTATTTAGAGCAGTGGAGAGAGACAGGAAAGGGGGGAGAAGAATGAGGGAGAGACCTGCAGCAAAGGGTCGTGAGCGGGATTCGAACTCACAACCGCTGCGTCAGGGACTGTAGCCCCTGTTCATGGGTCACCCGCTCAACCAGGTGAGCTATACGGGCGCCCAGTCTATTGTTCTCTTATGCACTGTTGGTGTGTTCTCTGTCCTATCGTGTGCTATGCTATCCTGTCTTACCATATCCACCTGCTACCTGCAGATGGCTGCCCTCCCTAAGCCTTCGTCTGCTGGAGGTTTGCTTTTGGTTTCTCTGTTTACAATACGTAAGGTCCTGAGATGACACTACATAAATAAAACTGAACTGCTAATAGATCACTGGCTTCTGAAGGTATAATTGGTACGAAATTAAGAGAAATGCTCCCAGGAGCCACAACAATTTCTTTTAGTGAGCATTACCTTTTCCCTGCCAGACTTTGGAGGGCATCAAGGAGGTCTTGTCACAACTGAGCGAAGGCTGGATCCACCTCCAGACCAGGAAGTCCGCTCCACCAATCCGCTGAGTCTCTGTTCGAATCCTAGACTCGTTAGCTGAGAGGAAGTTCACAGCTCGGTCCCAAATCTTCTTCATCGTCTTCCTGTAAAACACATGGTAACATCTTTGTTACCTGATGACTCAATAGACAGTTTCTGTGATGTGACAGACACATTTATAAATATGGAATTAAAACACTCTATTTACTCTTCTCCAAACAACTCTCAGTCACACACCTGTCTGAGTTATGTCGTGTTGGGCACTGGGAACAAGTTGGAACCGGTAGAAAGTTTTAAATTCTGAAGGAATTGTTAAGAAAGCTTCATTTCGATACTGCTCATCAGTTTCTAAACGCATTTCACTGGTGCTTGTGTACGAACAGGTGTTAGAGAATTTAAAGCAGTGCAGACGTGTAGGCAGAGAAAGTGAGTGGTGGAGAGCAAGCAGCGGACAGTGTGAGTGTAATGGGTTACCCTGTTTAGCCTCAAGGGTGAGGACTGCTTTGGCCTGAGAGAAGCTCTACCAAGTCCTCCACTGTGGTCTGGATGACAGAGCAGCAAAAGGCTAACAGTGTGATGCAAACACCTGCTGGATATCTACCGCCATCTGCCTGCAACACTCTGCATACTGCATGCCTCTGTGTTTTTCATCTCCTCACGTATTTGCCTTAACTCTTTCAACACTATAGCCCGCTATAACAGTCGGCGGCTTTCACCCCATCTAGTCTGCAGACTGGTGTAGCGGCTCCGGTATATGGCGACTTTCTGCTACATTCATTTTGATTGTCTATCAGTGGGAATCCCCGTATGTGAACAAGAGATTCAGTCAGGAAATAAATTATGCAAATACTACTACTACTACTACTACTACTAATAATAATAATAATAATAATAATTGCATACAGGGTTCTTGCCAGCGTCATAATAGAGTAGCAACCCGTTACGCTGCTGCCTGAAAAAATTACGCCGCAAATTGGGCCGATACGCTGTTTTCGAGTGTATGTAACAGGAAAATATTTCACCACAGGCGTAATTGTCTTGTTAAAAACACCGTCATTTAGAAAACGCCGCTACAAAACACCTTAAAACACTCCACTACCACTACAGTAATGTAGCCGCCGTAAACAAAAATATCACATTGAAAGGACGCCGCTGTTTTTACAGCTGCTTTAACAGTGAACTCAACACACAGCTTCAGTCACCATTCTGCTTATCAAGGCTAATTACAGCCGACTGGAGCAACTTTACTGCCCTCAAAAGTATGATTACACTGAACAGCTGACACAGAACATGTTTGCTGCCACATAAGGACCAAGTTGTTTGCATGTAAGAGCAGAAACACGAACAATGTGTCGAAACATTCAGCAACAGTCCATCACGTGCAGACAGAGGGGCGCACAGCTCATCCCTCGCTAACCAAGGATGTTGTTTTTGCTCGCAGCCTGCACAAGGAGTGAACTAATTTATACGAACATGGGTGAATGATTGAAAGTAAGTATTCTCCAGCTGTTTGTTTAACTGTGGCTGCGTCCACAGATTCAGTCTGAATTTCAGAGCATCACTTGAGAACTGCTGGTCATAATTTCATTTTCACTTTTAGAGCAGCTGAGATGTATTTCTAGCTTCACCTCATTATCACTCTGCTATAGGAAGAGACACTCTGGCTTGTTGGGGTTTCTTTAATAAATCACAATCATATTGAGCAGACTCGAGCAGATAAGTTCCCTCTAAATGGTGACAGAGGGAATTGTTTGGCAGGAAGGGGAACACTATCTTTAAAATGGTTGAAAACCTTGGCAACATTTAAAAATTTCAGTGTGGCAGGTTGCTAGCCTGGAGGTGGCTATTCCTGTGTCCTGTAGTCAAAGGAACTTCCAAGATAGATAACCACCACCATGATGGAGAGCACCACTTGCGCAATACTTGTCATAGACGTGAGACTGAGCTGTATATGAAGTGATATGTATAAAACATAATCATGTGCTAACCAGCAAAAGATTTCTCTAAACTAATAACAAACATAACAGTGTAATTTGCTTGTGAGTTCCTAAATACTGAAAATTATGTCCATGTGTGGAAAATACTGAAACTGCTACTGTACCTGAGGATAGCTGCTATGTAACAAATGGTTTAACTATAGCTTTTAAAACATGACTTTTTAAACCATGACCTGCACACAAAATGATAGGGATCATTTATAATAGTTATTTTTATTGTTATCAAGGTCCAGAAACATGTTGAGGTTAATTGGTGATTGTAAATTGTCCGTAGGTGTGAATGTGAGTGTGCTTGGTTGTCTGTCTCTAAGTGTAGCCCTGTGATAGACTGGTTACCTGTCCAGGTGAACCTGCCTTCACCCTGAGTCAGCTGGGATAGACTCCAGCCCCCCATGACCCTAGTGAGGATTAAGGTCCGTATCTTACAGCACTACTTGTTGTTTTTCAGACAGTGTTAGCCAGGCTACGAGGCGCAGCATCCTCTTCGTGGTAGCCCAGCAACATAAGCTCCAGCTGCAGTGACACCAGCAAGTCAATAATTCTGCCATTTTCAGTGTAACAAGGAAACTCAGTATGGTCGTGTAATATTGCGGCGTTCCTGACAACCTTCTGCGACCTCACTTTTGAAACTCATTCTCTGCTTGTAATCCTCCTTTCTTCATCCCAACCTCTCCTGCTATCCCCCACCTCCCCCATCTCCACCCTCACCCCAACCAGTCGAGGCAGACGGTCGCCTTCCCTGAGCCTGGTTCTGTCTGGTTTTTTCATTCCCCATTTATTTTTTTTCCTTCTGGTTCCTCCCCACCGTTACCAACTGCTTGCTCATAGGGAATCCAAACGCAACTTTGGATTGTTGGGTTCTCTGTTCTGTTTGAAGTTTGTAATGGTTTACTCTACTATGTGAGGTGCTATGAGATGACATATCTTGTAAATCAGCATAATACAAACAAAGTAAAATTGAATTGAATTGAATTCTGCGTTGCTTCACTCTGCAAATGCTCTCGTCAGTACTTTCTGTGAACGCCAGAATTGTTGATTGGCTGTCACTTGTGACTTCTAATGAATCAGACAGTGCTGTGGACAAGACTTTGCTTGAGAGAACAGAGTGATTACAAAGACAGAGAGATTTAGGTTTTATCAGAGCCAATGTAGTGTATATTGGTAAGATCTTAAGAGCTCTCACACTTAAGCACTACAGTTGTGATAACAGTCAAGTCTGTATGGCTTTAGTTTTTAGTTTTGTACTTATTTCTCAATGCCAATTCATCCATCCCAATCAGCACCCATCTGTGTACAGCCTAAAATTAGTGACTGTGTCGACTGTCTGCACTGCAGGCCTGCCGACTGTGCATGTGCCAGGAAAACAAATGGTGCTTAAAAACTGTTTTTTGGTACAAGAAAGAGTGTGTGAGGTGATTCTCTGTCATCCACACCTTTATAATTAATCATTAAAAAAGTAGAGACTGAAGTAGCCGTTGCCAGACTGAGGAGATGCTTTGATTTGTATATCCTGTCCTATTTTTTTTTTTCCAGAAATCCTGTCCTACGTCTGCCCACTGTGCTCGACACACCTCAGGAATAACTGCAATAACAAAATGCTCCAGTTCAGTCGGTAACCAGCTGCTGTGTTTGATATGAAGAGGAGTGTGACCTGCTGCACGGCAGACCTACTAGTACCTGTTGCAGTTCTCAATAGAACAGTGTGTGGATCTGCTTTTCATTTTCGGTTTGTGGACAAGGAGGTGGAGAGCATAAACTGGCCTTCAGGATGGAGAATTGGGCCTTCCAGTTCACTCTTTACCCCAACAGACTTTAAACGTCACAGATTTCACCAGGTTGCCATGTCAGGCCTTAACCCTCTAAGACAATAGCTGCATATGGCTAATTAACATAGAATTATATATGCAGTTGCTACAGCTTTCTCTGCCTTACAAAGCAGCAGCATCCCTACACGTAGCTACATGTCACACATTTACCTTTTACACACCAACACTCACGACACACAAGCACTATAGTTACTGTGGTGAACTCAACTACCGCATAAACCACTGCTTGTGTGACACAAATGTTGCTCTGCACAGTCATGACATATTGTACCTGTTCATCAAGCATGGTGTATTAGACATGTCTTTGTATTTGTTTGATAGGTACATTTTGTATTTGTCAAACAAAATCCAATTGGTCTGTTCATCATGTTTGTATTTTCAGAACACACTGGGCCTGTCAGGAATCACAGGACATTTTTAAAGCATAATTTGCTTCTTTGTGAAGTCTGGGCAGGAAATTAGCACAATGTGAATTCTGCCAGTAGTGGTGTGTGTAATTGGAGATCATTGTTTTACAGCTTTGATTTGCTTTGGTTGCTGAAATTTTCTTCCTGGATTCTGAAACTTGGAAACAAGCTGAAGCAGTGTCGGTACTCACCGGTCCTGAGGCTGAACCAAGGAGTCTCTGACATGGGGGATCGGCAGGTAGGCCTGTAAGTCTTGGTTCTCTTGGTAGGCTTCACCATGGGTCTTCAACACATCTAAACAACAAAACAGTTTTACACACTCGAGTCAGTGTTTTTTTTTAACCTCGGTCTGCTTGCTGATAGTGTAGCATGTTGGTAATCGACAGAAATGAAAGTAATCCTTTCCTCATCTGTAAACAAACACAACTTGGCTGATACTCATGCGAATGCGTGCTGTTCCTCACCAATGATTCTTTCCACCATGTCGTACATGTGCCTGGTCTCCTCCTCTTCTTTCCTCCAGCGATACCTCATATAGCAGACCACACTCCACACACAGCCCACCACTGCACACAGGAGTCACACATTAAAACAGATACTGAACAAGCGGTCGCTGTTGCAGACTGATAAACAACTGTATGTAACAGTATGTCATCTATTTCCTGTCACAAAGGTTCAGAACATTTTCTTGGTCCTGTGTTTTTTTAACATATTTTTAATCTGTCCTTGCATCATAAATCAGCGACACTTCTACAATCCACCACTGTAATAGTTGTCATCTACACTCTACGGTTCAGGCCTGCTGTTTATATGACATGGTTTATGCACCGGCTGCGATGAGCAGGACCCTGACGATGACGGTGAGGAAAGCTCGGCGGAAACGGCATTGGAAGGGCATCTTGGGATGTGTGGACTCCAGCCGAGAGATCTCCGACACTTCAGTCACTGGATCGTCAGCTACCTGCCCGGTTAGCCTGCACACAGACACATAGAGGACAGATGTCACATGCAAACACAATGAAGAGCACCGGGAGGGTTGTACATGAATACGTATAACTCTTGTATTACCTTATGCCAAGATCCTGGCCTGTTCGGATGATCCACTCCAGAGATGTATGAATGAAGCCTTCAAACTCCTTATTCTGAGTCTGAACAAGAGACACGTGGTACAGAACGACACTGATGAGAAAAACAGTTCAACTTTCTCCAGCTCCCATTCCTAAGAGTCTAGCTTTCCTAACATCATAACAGTAATCCTTTATACTTTGTGGGTTTGTTCTTTCGTTCTACTTTACAGAGAAAACACACTCCAGTAGGTAAATGTGATGCTGCCTGTTGTGGCATCCCTGGAAGATGAACATCAGATGTAAAGACACACAAGCAAATCACTGCTGATTCACTCCAGACACAGACGGTATAAACTCTCCTGCTTGAACAAAATGCTCAAAGAAATGTTTGTGTGCATTTGGAAGTCATAATGATGCAAAGCTCACTTTAAGATGATTTTTCTCTGTTCTTTCCTGAAAAAACTGCATGGTTGACACTATCTGACAGATCAAGACACACCTGTGTGATTGCATGCAAATACTGGCAGAGAGAGGTGCAGTCGTGACTCGATAATCCGACTTTAAATGTAAAACCTTCTTTTATGTCAGATAGCAAGGCTGTCGGATTGTCAAGACGGAGGTTGAGATACAAGGAGGGCTTGATGCTGGAAGGCTCATTAGTTGTTAATATTCATTGTTCATAGTTGTTATAATAACTAGTAGGGCTGGTCTGAATAACACTTTCTGGTCTCTGGACATTCAGGCCCAATTAATGATGAAGATCATCAAGATCACATACAAGTCGTATTTAATTGGAAATGTGAACGAACGCACACAAAAGAAAATCGGATTTCACTAAAAAATCCAAATTGAGCATTAAGTCCTGCAGTGTGAACGTAGCCAATCTGTGGATTCAGTCAGATAATACGCCATTATCCTCATTTGTGACATAAAATGTCATGTTGGAGTCAGAATCCAAGGCTGTCGGTATGTTAAGGCTATTTTTCATGGGTTCTGTTTGTTTTTCCTAAAAACCTGTCGGATAGCAAAGTTTTCTGATTGTTAAGGGTCGGATTATCGAGTCACGACTGTACATGGTGTGTACATTCATATGGAGATGTGAGCAAGTGTATATTTAATGTACTGTCTAACTCAGTCTGTGCATTGACATGCATCTAAGCAATCAGGTTACTGTAAATCCACATATACAGTTTAGTAGCAACATTTCTTCTCTAATGTTTGATTTTAAGTTTACAGTGATAAAAAAACACTGCATAAGGATTATTTAATGTGTGTTGGTGTTTTTAGACAGTATAGTAAGAGACAGGTGGGCAGACAGACATAATGGAGCTGCCAAATGTCTGAACCTCACAAATACGTAAATGTTCCTCTAAAGGCCACTTTGTGTTAATTCCACTTTAGTCTGATTTATTTTAAATACAAGGACGTATTGCTCCATATAATGATCTGTCCTTTCATTGTTCAACTCAAGGTGGTTTTAATCACCCATTATAGCAGGGGTATCCAATCCTGGTCCTGGAGGGTCACAGTCCTGCATGTTTTAGATGTGTCCCTCTTCCAACACACCTGATTCAAATGATCAGGATCGTTATCAGACTTCTGCAGAGCTTGATGATGAGCTGATCATTTGAATCACGTGTGTTGGAAGAAGAAAACATCTAAAACATGCAGGACTGTGGCCCTCGAGGACCAGGATTGGACACCCCTGCATTATAGCGACCAGGTTTCTTGTTTACGCAACAGTTAAGAAAATCAGTTGATTCTGAGGTGCAAGTAATCGGGTCAGTGTGTTGCTGACAAACAACATCTTTATCATCATCTTGGAGCAAGAAAGAAAACTGATGCTACAAATTTTAAAACAGTTGCTCCACTACTCAGAAAAAAAAATTAACTTACGATTACTCACAAAAAGGGATGTTCAAAAATACATTTTACTGTATTCACTTAAAATTTGCCTTTAAAAATTCAAATAAAATTCATGGCCGATTCGGAACCACACATTTTGTAGCGTGACCTCTCTGCTTGTTCCAAAGACACGGCAACAACGTTAACAGCTTGTTTGAGGTTTTGTTTAGCAGACAGGGATACTAAGACGTGAACATACCAATAAATACGCAGATGCCTCATCCATGGACAGACTCCTGTTTGGATGCTGCTGGTCACCACAGTCATGCTGGCCTGAAATCACAAGAGCAAACCATTAGTGACGAATAAGATTAAACTCCTGCTAACTGCCTGTATCAACTTGACATGTCTTCACATACTCTCTATCGACTGAATGACCCGCATGTCTAGATCAGGGAACAAATAAACTATACTTTGTTAGATTTGGATTAGGTTATCNAGGGTTGAGTACATTCCTGTAAAATATCACTTAAATGACTCAGTAATCACATTACTTCTAAGTTTAACAGTGGGATATTTACTCATGTAAAATTACAAACAGTTTCAATTTACTCTATTAAAAATACAGTCCCGCTACAGAGACATGATGCAACACAAGTCAGTGCAGTTTTCATTGTTGAGATTCAAATCTTTTATTTTTTTTCAACACTTTGTTTGGTTCTTAATGTCTGATGACAGGTTCAATACTCCTCATCATGGAAGATAAGTGTTCCACAAATGTGCAGAGAGTTGCTTTGTTCTCAACTATTGTTTTCAGCTGCTCTTTGCTGGAGGGGGTGTGTTGTGCCACTGTTCTCTTTAAAATACCCCAGCAGTGGTTGCAGGTCATGGTTTTCACTTTAATCCTATTTGTGATTTTGGCGGTGTGCTCTGGATCATTATGCATCAGTATTCCTCTTCTGTCAGGATCTGAAAGACAACTGGGTGGTAGTGTTGACAGGATGATGGCAGGGGGAAGGTTAGCCAACATAGGAGGTGAAACTCCTGGTGGCTAACAGGTTGGAATCTGATCCAACCCACTCTAACCGCCTGTGGTGTTTAGAACAAGCAGGCCAGAAACTGGCTGGCTCAGGAGCTGGCAGGGAATTGGTAGGCTGGTGGCTGGTTGGCTGGAGATCAGGCATGGCGCATAAAGACTGAGAGCTAGGGGTGTTAATACAGTCCAAAATAGAGACAGGTGATGGGTCCCTGAGCCAGGGCTTTGTGCAGTCAAACAAATTTGTCTTGATCTCATTTATGCTCCCATTTTTGATCAGGCTTCTTTTCATGCTCTTCAGCAAAGTTTCATTGTGCGGTTGCGTGCCAAAGAGCAGGGTTATTTTCTCTGGGATGCCGTCTGTAAATGTTGACATTTTGTAATGTCCTTCACAATGTCAGACACTCTTATTTCCATTGATAATCTATGCGCCACGTCTGAAGCACTTGCCTGTCTGTAGGAGCTGGATGGTGCAATCAGTGTAGTTTCAGGAGGATGCCCACTGAGGCTCAGATTAGTGGCGTAATGGCTTATTGTTGTCTCCTGATTACTGCTACCGCTGTGATTCCACCGATTCTTTGTGAAGTCTCATCATCAGATTTTCCAATTCTTCTTTTCCATGTGGTGTGATGCAGAGACACATAGTCCATAGATCCAAAAGTGAAAAAGTTCTGATGTTCACGAGTCATTTTCTGGCCATGTTTACGCAGTAAGTTGCAACTAATTGAAAATCTCAACTGTACTTGTTTCTTTTTTCTCGTGATTACAGGTTTTTTTTTAACGTGTGAGTCAGTCATCATAATTGTATTTACTTGTGTTGCATTTGAGAGCCTGTACTGTCAATGTAGTCCTTCTAAGGTATTTTAAAAGATGTTTATGAGAGGGAACGCTCTCCTTGTCACCTTATTAATAATGTATTAACTGTACACTGATACAGTTTGAATCCTTTGACATTTAGCTGATATTGCATCGTGTTATTTGCCCTCCAGCCCAGTAGTAGTTCCTACTGTATTCTAGTTTGGTTATTTCTGACCTCGGTTTCCTGTTCCTGTATATTTTGTGACTTTGTAAACTAAAAGTCTTTATTGTACGCTTGGGTCTGCCATGTCTCCTGTCTGCAAGTGAGCCTCAGTATCTGAACAGTGACAGAACACAACAAAAAATGCAGCTGATTACATCATACTTTATGTCCTATTTGACATGCTGAAGCTTCATAGTATTCCCTGTAGGGTATATAAGAGACCATTTCATGTCATCAGCAGCACTGCACATGCAAAGGCCTGGAGTGGTTTCCTGCTTACATTTAAGCTGTAGCACAACTCAGAAGTTGTCAGCTCTCACATAAAGTCTAAAACAAAAGAATTATGTGAAGCCACAAAGGCAGCCATCTTGGCTCTGCTGGAAATTGGCATGAGTGAGAGACAGGTAGCGAAAAAACTGAAGATCTCCAAGACAGCCGTTCATTACACCAAGAAACAACAAGCTAAACATGGTGCTACCACATTGCTAGCTGGTGAGCAGCAGGAAACGTCTTTCTACCCACCAGATGACCGTGTACTCATCTGTTCCTGTGTCAGGAATCATTGTCACACCTCCAGGGATCTTAAAGTGAGTGGGCACTGTCGAGAAATGTGACTTGTTTGGCAAGGACAGTTTGAAACTGACTTCTTGAAGCTGGTCTGAAGTCACACAGGGCACAGAAGAAGCCCTTCATCAAGCAAAGGCAGAGGAAAGCCTGGTTCCTCTCTGCTGGGATCACAAGGATCGGACTGGTGATGGTTGGGCTGAGGTTCTCTTCAGTGATGGATCCAATTTTTAGTTGACGCCCACTCCAGCCAATTCAGAGGAAGCCTGGAGAAGCCTACAAACCAGACTGATGGAAAACTGTCCAGTGATGTTCTTCTCGCAGCAGGTCTCCAAGGTGAACAGCCTTTGGCACATTAGAACAAGGCAGGTAGGGGAAGTTGGATCCATAACTTCGGGACAAGGATTGGCTGTAGGCTGGTTTGGAGAAGCCTACAAACCAGACTGTCTTGCCCCTACAGTAAAACATGGGGGTGGATCAGTGACCATCTGGGTTGTTTCAGTTTGGGTGGAACAGGGCAAATGTGACTGTGTGACGAACAAAAGAACAAAGGGCCTCATTTATCATCAGCACTTTTAAAAAGGTTCTAAATTCTGTCTTACAAATGAAATTTAGAACGTGCGTAAGTACAAAAAAAAATCGTATTTATCAAACATGGGTCATATGTACATCAGTAAGTCAGTCAAATACCCTGTATAGTCATTGTCCAAAGAGTTTCTACAACTTAGGTCATTGTCTTGAAATGTTATACATCCTCTTTAGGTAATTTATGTTTATTTGCAGGTCATTTTGTATTCCAGCAGTTTCTATTTCAAAAAAGCCAATCTCTGTAATAACATGAGATGAGTTTCAAAAGACTATCACTGTTATTTCACAATTTTATAGTTGAATCATTTTTCCTGCATTTATTATTCATAGTTATTTAATAGTTATATCCATCCCCATGAGTCCTTCAATCTATTTGAAAAAGTCAGAAATATGTGGTTATGACTTCTAGATACTAGATTTTAAATTCGAAGGGAAGGTAGTAGAATAGGAAAACGCTGTTTTATCATTACACTGTATTAGAGAAGTCTTTCATTCTTCATAACCTGAACAAAATATCTGTAAAGCCGTGCATACCGGATGTACAGTATGCCATTTAACTTCACCAGTGTTCATCCTGTCTACAGTCTGTTGTAGTTGCTTTTTAACCGTTAAATGACTTTCACGGTTTGGTTTGTGTTCACACTGTGCCGTCGGTACCGTCGGACAGCCAAACGGAAGCTGAGGTGTCCTGGCCATAATTGGACATGTGGCGCTCCTGCCATTCTAGACGCGCGAGCTTGCTGCGCTGTTGAAAGGGGCGGGGCCTGTCAGCTGAGAGCCTGCGCGTCCGAGCCAGCGCGAGCTAATGTGCCGAGACGTCGTTGGAGGATTATCGCGAGCCACACTGCGCTCCGCTGTTCTGCTGCTGCTGCTGCTGTTCTCCGGTATGTGTGTGTGTGTCTCGTGTATTTTGTGCACTAACTTACAATTACGACAGGAACCGCCGTCGTAGGCAACACACACCGTGTCATACGGCGACTGTTTGTGCTATTTCAAGAGTGTATGTGCAGAGAAATCCAAAATTGTAACCGATTTAGAATAACGACACTTGAGAAATGGTGAAAAACGTGTCCAAATAGGGACAAAACACTACAACGTATTCAGTGTTAATCTTGGGCTCCACAAATAGGTACAGAGAAGCTTAACTCAACAGAAAACACTGTGCTGTGACTGGACACTTCATAACACAAGTGTCATCATAATGACGACACTGGAAACGGCGGAGTTGAGCTTCCTGTCGGTGATGTGCTGCGTATCCTCAACGCTCCCTGTGTTCCAATATGAACACTTTACATAAACAAGGCATTCCACTGCGCTGCACCACACCGCCACCTAGCGGCAGTAGACTAGAATAGAATTCCTTCATTGTCATTGTGTACAACGGAGTCAGGCAGCAACCCTGTCATAACCTGACAGATGGCAAAAGTACTCACAGTCTTTACTTAAGTAGAAGTAGAGATGCTTGTGTAAAAATAGACTCTGGTAAAAGTAGAAGTACTGACTCAACTCCTTTACTCAAGTCAAAGTAAAAAAGTACAGGTTCAGAAATTTACTTAAGTACAAAAATGAATTTTTAGCTTCGATGATACGCGATGCCTCTTTTGCTAACTCTGCAAAATGAGAAAAGCTCTAAGCACACAAAATAGGATTGTTTTCATCCCTTAAGAAGCTGCACAGTGCTGCTACAGAGAGAAACACATCACTGGACAGTTTTCCATTTCAGCAACATGATGAACATTAAACATCATCATCAACATGGAAGCACTCGTCTCTTCAAGACCACCAACATCTGTTATTGAGCCTCAGTAGAAGCTGGTTCTCATAGGTCTCTGGATGAAGACGGGCCCTTTTGGGTCTGAACATCAGTCCTGCAGTGCTGAACAGCCTCTGGCAGGCAGCTGAGGCAGGCAGGGATGTGCTGAGCTTCAGGGACAAATTACACACTGCTGGGAAAGATAAAGATGTGTGTTGTTACGTCTTTTACATCATGTCGTCATCCACGGAGGCTGAAACAAGTAACGAGCCAGTTTAGAGAATATAAGGAGTAGAAAGCTCAGATATTTGTGTTCAAATGTAGAGAGTGAAAGTAAAAAGGCGTCAGAAAAATTAATACTGCAAAATCTGCTTCAGTACAGTAACTAAGTATTTGTACTTTGTTACTTCTCACCTCTGCAATCAGATACTTTTAAAAAATTGAACAAGAAATGTGCAAATATAAAATACAAACATCTAGTAGAAAAAAATAGCAAGTGTTACCTATGAAAAAGGTGGTACAGTTTATTCTTTAAAAGAAACCTTATTTAGTATATTAAGAATGATAGTCGTGTAGCTGGTGTTGCAATTCTGGATCTTGCACATTGCTGAAGACGAGCAAAAAAAGCATGACTCAAGTAGAATTACACAGTTCCATGTAAATATATATCAACATGTGTAGTTTCAATAAATAAAGTGCATGAGGTAGTAATTGGGTTCATAGGGGGTATTCCGGTCCAGACAGTAAGTGTGTGTGGCAGAGTTTAGCTCTCTTATGGTTCGAGGGAAGAAGTCGTTATTCAATTTGTTTGTTAGTGATTTAATGGACCTGAAGCGTCTATGTGAGGGCAGCAGGTCAAACAGATGGTGTCCAGGATGGCATTGGTCCTTAAGAATGTTTGCTGCTCTACTGAGACAGTGAGCAGTAGACGATCCTCTGGTCAGTGATGATGATGTTGGGCCTTCCTGCCCACTGCTGAGCAGCTGGAGAACCCCACAGTGACAGAGTATGCCAGCACGCTCTCGATGAAGCAGTGCTAAAAGGATGCTAGCAACTCCTGCTGCAAGTTGAGTTTTTCCAGGGATCCTCAGGAAGTGGAGCTGCTGCTGTGCCTTCTCCACTGCCGCTGTGGTGTTGGTAGTCCAGGAGACATGTTCATCAGTGTGTGTACCCAGGAACCTGAAGGCAGGGACCCTTTCCACACAGTCCCTGTTGATTACTAGTGGATAAAGCTCTGCTCAGTGTTTTCAAAAAGAAAGCTGACACAATAGCTTTAGTTCACACACACAGAACTGAAAGCAGTGCTACAAACCTCATCCTTAAATCGTACACAATGTGAATATGTCTTGTGTTGTCTAATTCATTTCTGCCATTAAAGAGGAATAGACCTTTCAAGTCTTCATTATGGACGCTGCGGTTTTGTAGGAGGCATTTAACATAAGCTGAAAACGTCAGGAGTTTGTACAACGCTAAAGTTCACTTCTGATTGGACAGTTAAGAAAAACATAAAGGAAACCTAGTTTACAGCGCTAAGTGGCCATTTCTCAGTTTTACATCTTTAGGATGTAAAGCTACAGTCTGAGACATTTCAGGCAGTTCAGTGCTTCTGTTACTCTCGGTGTGAATATATAAAAAATTGATTTTTAACTTTTTGTTTTGTCACTTCGGGACCACACTAGACCGGTTCTAGATACAAAGGTCTATAGACTATAGGACTATCTGTTTCATACAGAGAGAGGAGCAAACAGGCAGACTCCTGCCTCTGTTAATGCACCGCTTCTGAAAATCGCCCGCTTGGTGTGTGTGTGCTAGCAGGTCATATGACCTCTGCTTTACCTTTTAGGTGTCGAACCAACAGTGGCTCAGCTGCAAACTTTCCGCACTGTCTATTATACAGGTTTGGTGGCAGGTTAGATGACTCACCGTTTCTGATTTTCACACGAAATTCAGTGAGAGTAAGTCAATGAGAGGTTTGCTTGGCGCACACTGTGCACTGAAGTACAGCAGTGAGAGTCAACTGGGTAGAAGAGAACAAAATCCCTACATTTTTATGTATAAATTGTTCAGGTACAGTGAAAGCAGCAGCAGCTGAAGAGGGAGTGGGCTAAAGCGCCAGAGAACCCCCTGAACCAGCGCTTTGCCGCCTACAACTCAAAGTGAACGCACTCTTTCACCCGTAACTCCACTTGGAACTGTCTGCCTATTCACATTGGAGACTTCCACTGGAAAATTTAATAGTTTCATTGAAAAGATGAGTCTTGCTGACGAGAGCTTCACCACCACCTGCCCAGAAACAATCTCTCCCGTGCCAGAGGACTGATTCACTAGTGAGGAGAAGCTCGTTTTCGCCTATCAGAGTAACAGCTGATCATCACGTTTGTGCACATGGCCTCCAATTAGGCATCTCAGCTTCTAATACATTTACTTATATAAAGATCAAGACATGGATTTAAATGAATCACGTTCATGTGCTTCAGTGCTTATGCATTGGCTCACCTATCCATCCATCCATCCATTTTCTATACACCGCTTAATCCTCACTAGGGTCGCGGGGGGGCTGGAGCCTATCCCAGCCAACTTAGGGCGAAAGCAGGGGACACCCTGGACAGGTCGCCAGTCCATCGCAGGGCCACACTGAGAGACAGACAACCAAGCACACTCACATTCACACCTACGGACAATTTNTTCGCACAATGTACAAAGGCATTTTAGAGGGGAAGTCAACTTCACAGTATGTATGACCTATTGCTCAGCCCTCCAAAGGGGTCTCAAGGCGTTGCCATCAATAGTGATTGCATTTTTTAAACCAGTCAGGCATGAGTGAGGCTACGCAAAGGATGCGGTTTCAGTACGTGTAGGAAGAGGAGCACTGTCTTTAAAACAAATAATCCACCAAAAAAAAAAAAAGCGGGGCTGCCTTACTGCACACTCCAAACCCCTGACAAACTCTCAGGTTCAGTTTAACTTGTAATACTGTAGTTTGTTGTTTTCGATGGCAAAGAAAACTATAACCCACAGGTAATGGAAGTGGATGAAAATGCCGACATAGATAAACGGCCACTGACGGTCATATACCCACAACCTAAATCCTGTGAGTCGGTTTGTGCTACTAAAAAACTACTGGGCCTATGGGCCAAGAAAGATCTGTAAACAAACACAATCAGCAGACATAAATGAATCGCTGCTCACTCGGTTGTCACATTGACTACAAAGCCTACAAAGTCAGTCCTTCAGTGAACACAAGGTGAAGTGCAGAGAGTCAGTATCTACCAGCGATGAAGGCCAAGTGGTCATGAAGATTGAGTAGCAGCTTTAGGATCACGTCCTTTTCTCCCTTGTTCTGCAAAAAAACAAAACAAAACCAAAAACTTAATGGCCACACTACCAGAAAAAAGCCCATTTAACAGTACATTTGCTGAAGTCTGACCCACTTTACTCAAATGCTGATTAATCACATTTCTGACAGTGAAATAACAACTTGGGACTATTACATTTGAAACAGAAGTTACTTGATCAGAACATTTGAGGTCCTGGTCTAAACCTAGAACATTTACATTCATAACTTATGGATTTAAAGACATAACTTTAGCAGGAGAATGCACCTCATAAAACTGACAAGAAGACATCTTAGTCCGTTTCTGTAGTTTCTACCCCTCCAACATTCAGTTTACTCACAGTTATACAGAATGGAACTTGTTCCCCCCAAAAAAGATTGTTGGCTGAGCAGAAACACGGACTTCTAGAGAGCACTTTAACAAGACGACTGACAAATATAGTGTGAGCGTATTACTCACTAAACTAAGTTATTCGCTAATAATATTCTGCTGAAAGTGGCTGCTAGTGAAGTCCTTGCTCTCTGTCAATGGTAATTAGCCAACATCAGTGCTTAAACTCTGTCGCTCGCTTCAATCAGCTGCATGTTAGCAGAAAGCAATACAGTAAAATATGTCTAAACAGATCTAGCCATCTCTACAATGAAGACCCTTAAGATTTTGTCCATTCACTTACTTGAGATGTGGTATTAAAAGTATTCACTATCACTTTAAGTTGTACGTCTTCACAACTTGCCTCTTTAATTTAAGCTTGTTGATATAAACGGGGTGAACAAAGCACTTCAATTTATTCACATTCGACAATTTCATTTTGCAGACATTCACATGGCAGCACCTCAGCTGCTTCCACTCTACATCCCATTGTACACTTTGCTGTCTACAGATTAAAAGAAGGAGTCGGGCATGTACTTACATAAGAAGAGTCAAAATCACTGCCAAAAGGGTGACTTTTAACTACAACAAAAGAGAAAGAGATACAGTCACGGGAGACAATTTAAACCACACTGTAAACTGAGCACATCATGCAAATACACAAACAGAATTAGTGAAAAAAAAGACAAACTAGACATTTCACAATAGGAATATTTGAGTGGAATGTGGCTGGACATCTCAACACGTGTGTCAGTGTCTTTACACAAAACCTCATCACCAGGGAGCACGTCCCTCTGACTACACTCACCATAATTACAGACAAAATTAACTAATGACTGACTTATGTTGCATCTTTAAAGAGACAAACTGTAATTCGGTTCAGTCTGTCTCTACTAGACACATAATAAATAGGCAGCTGGATTATTAGCAGAGCTTTAGTACAGATTATTTTCTGCACTGTGCTAAAACTAAATGAATAAAGCATATTATCAATGCCTCCCAATGTCCTAGGCCACTTTTGGTATGGACATTTCAAGGGTATTTCTTTGTGTATTTGCTTCCATAAGTGCTTTTATATTCACTGCATTTCTGTACTTGGAGTGCTTTTACCATAAAGTTTGTGCTTTAACTCTTTTATGTGTTTATCCTCAGGGAGCCACCCTCTAATACAAAGACACACCACACCACTTGGTAACAGGGATAAAAAAATAAAAATAAAATCTGTCCTGTCTTTCAATTTCAACTTGGTATCTTGTACACTCTGTGGAAAAGCTGAAATATTTGTCTGATACTTACTGGTGCCATCCATCTCCGAGGATCCAGTGCCCCTCATCCTAAGGTACATGAGGCCTAGCAGCAGAAAGAATAGGCAGGCTGCCGTGAGAAGGAACATGGACAGGTAATGGGCACTAAAGCTACTAGAGGAGGCTAGCTCTTCCCTTTTGAACTGCTGGAGCAGCTCATCCTCCGGGACAGAGAGCTTTTTCTTCAGCACTGCCTGGCTGTATGAGTGGTTGGGAGCGGGGGTGTGATTAGAGTGGTTGTCCCTGAATGTCTGGGACAGGCTGCTGTAGTTGGAGAAGCGCGGTCTCAACCCAATACTGAACCTACTAGTGCTGTTGCTTCTAGACGTTCCGTCCTCGCTGTCGACGTGGTTGTTCTCACCAGCCTTCCCCCCGTGGTTCTCGGCTAGGGACAGGTAGATTGACTTCCTGGGAACCCTGTTGCTCCGCGAGCCGCCTGACGGGTCCAAATCTCTTCTCTTTGCCTCGTCTTCGGCTTCAACCTCACCTCGGCTCTTCACCATGTTTACACCCCCGAGCGGTTTAACTTCACTGTTCTTCTCTTCGGTTTGGGAGCTTCGCTCGACGACGTGGGAAGCGAACGGAACTATCCGGTGGCCCCGTCGAAATTCCAACCCGTCCCGCTCTCGTTCTCCGGCGCCAAAGCCCCCAACTTCCTCCTCGTCTGAGTCCGAGTACTCCCCGACTAGTTTGTTATTGTTCAGGCGAGACCCCCCACGACCATTTAAAGAGCAGGAATTCTTCTCCGTTTCGTCCTCACAATCGTCATCGTCCGCCGATTCGTCGTAGTGCATCCCTTCCGAGTCAAGGCTCGACCTAGCACCAACTCCCCAGCCCAGCGAAACACTTCTCTGTCCGTCCGAACCCGGGGAAAAATTACTGTTCAGCCTAGTACCACCGCCATACTGAACCTTGATAGCCGCATTATGTGTTGGTAAGGGCCTTACTTTCTGCTGTTTCTGAAAACCGGAGCTTCGGTTCGCCTTACTGCTATGTTCGAGGCCCTTTCTCCTCAGTGGAGTTTCAGCGTCAGACTCGTCGGAGCTGAAGCCGAGCACAGAGGACTTCCGGCCCGGTCTCCTGCTACTGCTCAAGTGCGTGACGTCAGGGCTGACTGGCCTAGATGCCGCGGTGCTGCCGTCGCCTGCGGTGCTGTTGATGGACCCGCTGCTTCGGGTTTTACTCGATCTGGACCCTCGTTGCTGCTGCTCTTCGCGAAGTTTCTTCAATTTCTTTAAATATACCGGGCGAGTGTTTTCGGTAACCGGGCCTGGAGTAAAACCAAAGCGCTTTAGTTCCGAGAAAATCTCCTCATCCGATAACTGCGTTGACGCCATCTTGTTAAAAAAAAAAAAAATGGAGACGGTCGTGTGACGGAAATGACGTAGAGGTGAAGTTGCAGTCGACCAACTGGGCTGCGTTCAAGACCACTAACAGTGCTCAAGTCTGAGCGGAGCAATGCCTTACATCTAAAAACTGTGCAGTTACATACAGAATGTCTGGAGGTAACCGATTCCACCTCGTGTCCCCCAACAGCTGACAAGTCTGGAATTTAGAGGTACACGACGGAAATCCGTATAAAGAGAGGTCCTGTGCAAAAGTTTTGAAAAGTTCCAAAGTAAAAAGGGAACAATGAGTTTGCAAACATACAGCACATGATGAAGCAGTTACACCAAACATGTGCTAACGGACAGCAACACGTGTGTTAATAAGATCAGATAAAAAATATAACTTTATTTTTCCCATTCCTCCACTTTCTAATCATCTTTCATACATACACTCTGGACAGGTTGCCAATGCTTTGTTGATCCGGAACCAGAAGTTTTCACGTGACAGCAGCGAGATAAGCACAACAGTGATACTAATTAAGATGTAATTAGGGCTATGTGCACATTGCACGTACACAGATATGGCATGAATCAGAAAGTGAAACAAAGACAACTGTGAAGAAGGAATAAACTGGTTGAAGCACAAGAGCACATTAAAAACAAAGTGAAGTTACAGAAAAGTGACAGTTTATATTTTAGAATCACCATCAAAAGTAAGCATAGCAACACAATCCAATGTTGTCATCCTACATCACCAAGATCGCTTACATACAGAAAGTATTATTACAATTATTACTGGCGGAGCAACTTGATGCAATAAGTGAGCACCGTTATAGGGGCTGTCCATGGCTCAAGACATTTACATGGCCACCTCATTTCCACTCACACTCAACCTCTTGCCTATTTCTTGGATTATGTGGGAGTTAAGCAAAGTTAATTTCTGCCAGAGGATGACAGCCAGAGCCACCACATTAAACCTTAAAGCTGCTCTTCAGGAAGCCTATGGCTGACATCACAGAGAATTCAATGGCTGCTAAACATTACATCTGACAACCAATGATTACAAATTACTCTGGTTTGCATTCATGTTATTCTATCTCAGATCATCAGGAGCCTTCAGCTCAACCATACTGATTAAAAACCAAAACAAAACCAAAAAAAAACCTACTTTCAGCAAGTTTGTTTGCCGACGGAAATTTGAAACAATACCACCTTATGGGATGGGACAAAAGATGTTTTTAGAGCAGAAATATTTGCTTATGCACTAACAAACAAAAGACAGAGTTAGGAAGCTAAAAAGAAAATCCAGGAGGATAAACAGAAACATAATCTTGACGTCAGAGTTTAAATTTGGCTGGACACGTCCTGGGCACATTCACTCTTCAGTTTCACCGGGAGATGTGCAACCTCATTCCATTTATGTCATTAAATGTAAAATAAAATGCAGCAACTTGCAGTTATCAGTGTTTCTCAGTGCAACCAAGTCTTTGCCAACGCATGGCAGGACAGACATACTTTCAGGCTCTGTCTCACACTTTCATGCTTCCAAAACATAAATCAATCCAAACATAAGGAAACCTCAACACCACTCCTTCATGAAAAATACGAGTGAAACAGCCTTGCTATGCATACAGGACAAACTCTGGACATCAGGCAATCACATTTCAGTACAATCATCGGTCTTTTTAAGTCACAGAGAGCTTAAAAGACAGTTTAAGTAACAAAGACACACACAAACTATTGTGAGTTTTTTCATTTACTTTGCTCTACAATTTCACATCTATTACAAACTGAGATGTCCATAAAAACACTACGCTTAGCTGCGATGAGCACAGAGCCTGTGACAGGTCAGATTAAAGCGACTCACCAACAATAAATGTAAAACCTGTTTTGAAAGAACGTTAAAAGGAGCTGAAACTTAGTTTGTAGTGACATTATTGTGTGTATGGATGTTTCCTATAACTACATGTAGAACAAGATCTCATCCATTCATCCATTTTCTGTGCACCACTTTATCCCTACTAGGGTCGCGGGGGGCTGGAGTCTATCCCAGCTGACTTAGGACAAAGGCGGGGGACAGCCTGGACACATCTCCCATTAGGGCCAACACATAGAGCCAGACAACCAAGCACACTTACACTTATACCTACGGATTTACAATCACCTGACAGCATGTCTTTGGACTGAGGGAGGAAGTCGGAGCACCTGGTGGGAACCCACGCAGACACAACATGCACATATACAGAAAGACCAACGACCCCAGACCGAGATCCGACCCAAACCTTCAAGCTGGTGAGACAACAGTGTGCATGGGTTCTCACCAGCTTCTTTCCACAGTCCCAAAGACATGCTGAGGTTAATTGGTGATTCTAAATTGTGAGTTGGGTCTAAATTGTAAATGTGTGTGCATGGTTGTCTGTCTCTGTGCAGTCCCTGTGATAGACTGGTGACCTGTCCAGGTTGTAAGCTGCCTTCGCCCTAGGTCAGCTGACTCCAGCCCCCCTGCAACCTTACAGAGGATAAAGCAGTGCATAGAAAATGAAAAACAGAGAAAAAAGGACAAAGAAAGATAGTAACGCTTGTGTCAAATAAAGGAGCAGAAGCAAAAGGTTGTTGATTATTGATTATTAATGATACCATTCCAATATCAAATAAATAAATAAATACATAAATAAATAAATGGCACTACATGCAGAAAAAAAAGGATTTGTATTCAAACTACATTGCAGTTTCAGGAGAAAATGCAGCGTGATTGCTGAAAATGTTGCATGCTGCTTGCAGCCACAGACGCCTGCTGCTTCTACACTTTTCTTGTACTTCCTGTAACTGGCTTGCAGCAGCAGCAGCAGCCTCTCAGGTTTCACAGCGTGCTCACAGGTGTTGAAACTGGCAGCGACCTACAGATTTAACCTACTGAGCAACTGGTAATTATATATATGTATGTATATGAAAACCTGTCACAGAGCATGTTCGAGTTTCAGAGTATTGTAGTGTCGACACTGGCCACATGGTGGTGCTGTTGTGACAGGTTTTGACTGCAAAGCATTTGATAGGTCAGCCAACTGCCAAATTTCCCTTTAGATTGCTTTTGCAGTTTTTGAGATATTAGTTATTTTATTCAGTCCTCTTTTGAACATTAATGTCTGATTAATTAGAACAGACAAGATGTTTACAAACTGACATGGCCAACTTAATTTAAAAGTGGAATCATGTTTCTAGCCATGAGTATGGAGGAGTAAGTCATTTGTAGTGACAAATCTTTTGTTTTGTTTATGCCACAGTACCCTCTAGGGCAACATTTTATTTACCCACATAATCTTGATTTTTGAAAAAGAGAGTGAACTTTTATGTACATTTTCCCAAATCTAAATCATTGTCCTTTTATGCTGTATTTGACAGTTACATACATGTCAGCGTTATCCTTTCTTCATTCAGATATTATTCAGAGAAAATCACAAACCAGGTGTAACCATGATGTTTTATTCATTACGTTAGGTGACATTCAGCAAATGACTTTCAGGAAGTTACATCTTTCTTAAAACCTGTCCATAATCAATGGTGTGCTTTTTAACACCTCAAAATACAAATAACACAGCAGCATTTCAATAATGTTTGTTTTTCCATAAGGGCTGCAAGGTGGNGTTTTTGACAGATACTGTGAAGAGTGTCTTCTCTAAATCCCTTCTCACAGCTCCTGAGTGCTTGTACGTGCCGATTTGGTAATATGACGGCATGCTGTTCAGACTTAACGTTTCCATCAGAACAGCAGAATGAAGTACATGTCTGACAGGGGTTAAAGAGTCTCAGGATTCTGGATTTTGGGTGGAACATTGTGCATTTGGAGGCTTTTTCTTCTGTAGACCTCAGTGGCATTCATCTGTTCTTGTGGCCAGCTGGGTAACCGGTAAGGCGTGGATCCTATTCCTACCACTTATCTAGCTTCTCAGCAACTGTCTAACCCTCTGGAGGCATTTAGCTATTGCTGACTTCTTTGCATTCTCACTCTGGCTCCCATTAGTCTGTGGGACATCTAGCTATCCTATGTATGCTGTTCTACCTTTTGGTTGCTCCTCTATTTGCCCCTATGCAGCCACACATCAAGTGTGTATGGCAATAAAGTCCTTGTTGTAGATCCTGTAGAGCTAGATTGTAAAGCTGATGTTGTGTTCACTCCTGTCGTACAGACAGATGTCATCCATTTACAGGATATGGCTAATGGTCACTCCACTTCTGAACCTGCGTCCATATCTGCTCTTTGTGTTGATGTGGCTTAAAGGGTTCAGGTCTATGCAGAACAGCAGCGGAGAAAATGCAAGGTCCAGATTTGTATTTGTCTTTTTTTGACAAGAATTTACCTAAAAAGTACTCTTTCATGTCAAAATGAAAACAGATTTTTGCAAAGTAATGCCAAATAATTAAACATCTGAAATGTAAAATAAGTGTTTCCATAAGTATTCATACAGTGAATGTGTCTCGAGTAATAGTACAAAGACACCTGTACGTGTAATCCTAGTCGCGGGTGAGTCAGTCTTCCTTTCTATAACTAAACCACAAAGACAAAAGAACACTGTAAGCAGCTCCATGTATAAATTATTGAAAAGCGTAAGTCGGGATTGATATAAGAAAATTATAAGAAAATCTACACATGTAACCTGCCTCACTCACCACGTGCTACAAAATCATACCTGTTATCCAAAACTTTTGGAAAAAACGCAGTTGCTTGGTCTCCTCCTCATCTCAATATACACAACCTCACTTGGTGCAGTAATCCACGCCTATGGGTTCTCACACCATATGCTGATGATACCCAGCTCTTCCTGTCGTTTCCCTCGGACAACCATACAGTCGCCTGCTGGCACCTGTGTGCTATGATCTGTGACCGGGTAGCCACTAGAAACGAGGCGTCTTGCCTTCATGGAGGACAAAGTGGAGAAAAAGCTGGTGCTTTGTGTGTCTGAACCAGTCTTAGGGCTGGACCTGAAAATCAGAATATTCGGTCGTTGTGGTGGTGTCTGGATAGCGATTTTGATATTCGAATATTCGCCCGCTACACCCCTCCTTCACGCTTCCGCCGCTGCTGGAAACAGAACTGGGACCGCTATCCCGCCCACTTTCACCCCGGCAGAGCGCATCCCCTCTGTTAATAACTGTCTGTAGCATTTCTTGTTTTAGTCTTACATAAATTGTCTGTAGGTTTGCCAGTCAGATAACTGTAACAGTTCCATGCATCATCAACTAAAGGGAATTAACTAAAATATATTCCTGTTTATATCAGTTAAGTCTTGAACAAAGCAACCTGCATAAACATTCTCTCAGTGTCTTGTTTGAATGTATTTTCCAGAAACAAAATATAGCAGTGATTACTAAAAGAGTTCGATAAGTCAGGGTAGTGGTTTTAACGTTGCACAGTTATGTTCTTAACTAAAGCACAGCCAAAGGAACGGTCAGTGAATCCCACCAATGGACACTTTTGGGGTTATAGAAGAATCTAACAACTGTACTTCTCTCATTTTCCCTCTTACCTTTTCCCTTCTCTCACTCTCTTTAGTGTGTCATGGCTGTCCTACTCAGACGTGGGTTCTTCATCGCCCGACACCATGCCCTTAGGCAAGGCAGCAGCTCAGTCTACCGCCTTGCACTGCCTGCTGTTCTTCTAGGTAGAGTAACCTGTTAGCTTCACAGTGTTAATGTCCACCTGTGATAGAAAGGTTTAGGCTGTAGCACTGTACAAACTCCAGTGACAAACATTTTAACAGACAGTGACACACTATATGTGTCTCTGTCTGTTGGTTTTTCATGGTAATTTTTACTACCAACCAATACTACCAAGTGACAGCAGCATTAGCAGAACTGAAAACGGACTATTTTCCGTATGTACAAACAGTGCTGTGCAAGTCTAGTCACAATGCCAAGCAAACTGCTATCTGACTCTGGAACCTTTCTGGAGTGTTGTTTGATGAATCATGATTGACTAATGAATGACTGTATGTCTGTTTGATGAGAAGACACACGAGAGACTTCAAATGTGTATATGTTGTACTATGCCTTGAAATGT